CGACGTCTACAGTGACGATAAGATCATCCACAGCCCCAAGGGCAGTCTCCCCATGTGTGCGCGAGCCAGCACACATCCTCAAAGTAAAACCATAGATAGAAAGAAAATCATGTATGCCATTGATGTTCTGTTCTTTTTGTCAGGCCAATTAAATGTTGAAATGTCGAGATCAATCTCCCCCAAAAAGCGGCTCTGCTCCGCCAGCCCCGAGCTCCTCTCCGGACGGTTCAACCATTTCGCAAATAATTAGAATGGTTCCTTATTGTGTTCCCTTCGCCCTCGCGCGGTCGCCCCTCAAAACGACTCCTGCGAGTCCAGAAACTTCTGGCCGTCCTGCGCGGGCACCAGCCAGTCCATGTCCGACAGGCTGGCCGCCCGAGTGAGCCAGTCCTTGTCCATGTCGCTGCAGCCCGCGGGGAACAGTAGGTCCACGTTGGAGCCTGGGGCGCGCGGCCGGTCCTCGCTGCCCCCCAGCAGCCACACCATGTCGTCCGAAGAGCAGTCCATGGGGAACACCAGCTGGTCGTCCTCCCCGTCGCTGCCAGGCCCATCCCAGCTCGCGATGTCCTGCGCGGCATTCCCAATGTTCAGCGCCGGTCCAGGCAGACGAGAGTTGCAATTGGCCTTCATCGAACACCGGGACAATTACAGGGGCGTCGATCGTGCGCCATGCTCGAGAACAGATCGCACGGCGGCCGTGCCTGCCGCAAAGAGCCCATGCCCTGATCCTCGACACGCTGCCGAGGACGACTCGCCGCCCGCCCTTCCGCGCCCGGCAGAAACGCGGAAGCCAGGCGAGGACTTCGCCGCCGCAACAGCCGCAACGCACGGGGGGCGCCGGCCGCTCCGACGACCGGAGAACACGCCAACGCGCAACCCCCGCCCTGCATCGAGCAAAAACACCCTAGCCTCCCCAATCCACCGCCGGAGCCCACTCATCCACCCCTTCGCGGAACCGGCCGAACAAAAACACAAAAACTGCCCAAGCCAAGGCCAAGGCACTGAAGCACCCCCCCCACCCACCTCCTGGAGGCCCATCGACAAATCCCCGGGCCCCAAGCAACCCCTCACCCCACCCCGAAGCCCCACCATGAGGTGCTCGAACTCCCCGCACTCCACCGACACACTGCTGACGGACTCCGTGTCGTCGAACGAGTCCCCGTCGTCGTCGATGTCCACCGGCCAGCACTCCAGCCCGCCGCGCACCTCCTCCGGCGCGCACAGCCACGTCTCGCAGTCCCCGCCCACCTCCAGCGGCAGCAGCCTCATCGCGTCGAACGGCGACGCATCACCCTCCGGCGCCGACGCTCCCTTGGGGATCGCCGAACGCGACATGCTCGATCCCCGACCGCTGGCCGTTGGGCACCGCCGCTCCGATCGGTCACCGGCCTCCCGATAGCTCGAGACGGCCGGCATACCTGCGGAGGGGGGCGGGGGGAGGGAGAGACCCGACAAACGGCCCCAAACCTAAGCCAATGCCGTCCAAGGTGCGGCGGGTGGGCAAACATGTTGACGCCCGCACGGGGGGCAAGCATGTGGGGAATCGGGGAGAGGGATCCCGAGCGAGTCGGGCTGGCGGGCGCAGGCGGCGCTGTGACGGGCTGAGTCAGGCGCAAGGGCTCGCGGGGCGTTTGCGTGCAGTAATGGTCGGGTGGTGGCGTCAGATCGTGTGCACAGGTCGGGCAACGCCCTTGTGCGTATTGTGGGCTTACAAAAGAACATTGTTCGCGCAGCTGCATAATGACCACCGTTTCACTGGGTGAGTCACTTATGAATCAGCTGGCGAGGGACTCATGTCTGACACGCATGATGACTGCGTGGGATGGCCCGAGTATGCCACCACCGGCTAGAAAGAGAAAAAAGCAAAAACAAAAACAAAAACTGGTCAAGAGCTTGCGTTTTTTGTAGTATAGCAAGCTGGTCATGAAAGTTGAGAGGAGTATTGCCTCAAGGGGCGCTTGGTGACGACTGAGCGACACCCTACGCTGCAAGAGTATTTCCGTGAAAGCTGCCTCACCGGTATTGACCGCGGCTCTCAATATCTGGTGGGGTTATGTGTCCTGAATAAGGATACCGCCCAGTTTGGGTGTGTGTCCAGCCTCAAAGCCAAATGCGCAAGGCTAAGAGGTTGCTGGCCTGAAGAAGGCTAGAAAGGAACCATGCACGACCAAAAGTGTGGGCCCACACCTGATGGTTCTTTCCAGGGTGGACTACCCCATGCAAGGGCTGCATGTGTTTACTTGTTCATCCATCACCCACAGCTGAAATATTGTTGTGGAGAAAATGTACGGGCTGGCTGTGCCGCCGGCCGTTTCATCACATCATTTGGGTACAGATCCAATCCCCATATGCTGATGTCTCTTTCCAGCTATGGGTAGGGTTTGTACTAATGGTCCTAGAGCTGTGCTCTGGACCGTATTCTTCAATCGTTTGGGCCCCAAGAAACGTGTTGGGAAGTGTCTTGCCTCAACATGGGGCTGTGCTGGAGTGTTGCCCAGCCTGCCTATTCTTCGGGCGTCCCAAATGATGATTTTGTCGCTGAATAAGTGACAGCTCTGGATGTCACTGAAAAGTGACAGGGACGGAGAAGTTGTAAGAATGTCGCTGGACAAGTGACAAGGCTTGAAAACTCCTGAACAAGGAGCTTCAGACCGGTCAGAGTGCCCATGGTTGGCCTGGCCGTGTACAAGAGTGTATTCCGTTGGCTGAAGGTTCTTTCCAGCCATGGGGTCACTCTAATGTGCGTTTGTGGGGCTGTGCCCCCAACCGATCAGTTTACAGGCATGTACCTCAAGGAACATGCTGGGATGTCTCTTTCCCCAGCATGGCACTGAGCTGATGCTACTTTCCAGCTCGTGTATCCTTTTGGTGTGCATGACATGATGTCAAGTGTGCTTGCCACTGGAGAAGTGGCTGGAGTTTACTTGCCACTGCAAAAGTGGCGCTGTCATTGGAAAAGGACAGCTGTGTTTTGTTGACTATCACTGAATAAGTGATAGTAACTGGCTGCCACTGAAGAAGTGGTACAACCATTGGAATTTGATAAGATTGGTTTGTGTATACCACTGAAAAAGTGGTTGTCTCCGGCTGCCACTGGAAAAGTGGCGTTGCCCTTGATGTTGGACTGGATTGGTTGGTGTTCACCACTGAAAAAGTGGTGTTGCTCCTGAAAAAGGGGCTGTGAACTTGTGGAGAACTCCAGGATCAGTTTCTGAATAAGGAACTGAAGTTCTGAATCTGGTTGAAGAAACATGTTGGAAATGCATGTTTGGCGTTTGAGTACAACCGGTGCACGACTGAATCCCTGAAAAAGGGGTGAGCACACTCGCTCAGCTGCTCCTGAAAAAGGAGCTGTGGGGTTTTTTTTTGGGCTGAGATATGGGTTTCTGAGTAAGGAGCTGAAGTCCAGACACCGCTTCTGGAATCATGCTGAACAAGCATGTTTAGTATTTGATGGTAACAAGTGCACACTTTACTCCCTGAAAAAGGGATGTGTGCATTGATACAGCAGCTCCTGAGAAAGGAGCTGTGTGATTGTGAGATGATGCCGGGACAGTTTCTGGAGAAGAAACTGAATTCCCTGAATTGATCTGGAAGTTGGTTTGAAGAAAACCATGCTGGAAAAGCATGGGAAGTATTGGCTTGGAAGTGGTGAATATTTGGTCCCTGAGAAAGGGACTTGCACACCACCAGACAGCTCCTGAAAAAGGAGCTGGGTGATCCCATTGGTGGGAAATTTGCATACAGTACTGAATAAGTACTGTACTGTGGGATGGCTATAGTTTAATCTGGCGGACAGTACTTAATGTATGTGGGGGGTATGGCCGGTGATTCCGACCATGCCTCTCCGGCCCTCTGCCAATGCGTGGGTGGCGGTGTGGCAGAAGCCCTTCGAGGAGTGGGGCCCCGATGAGTGGCTCCCTCTCTCGGGGGCCTGCCAGTACCCTGACTTACGCAGGGTGGAAACGACCATGCCGGTCATCCGAGGGGGGCGGCCGTATCAGGAGACGGTTGTACATCTCCTGACCCCCCTCGGTTTGCCGGCAGGCCGTATGGCGGGCCCGGGGACCGCGAGTCGGGCGGCACCGACAACGCCTGGAGGCGCACCCCCCGCGGACGCACCGAGAAGCCCCCACACCGCTTGGAGGGGGTGCACAAGCGAGGCAGAGGGTGCGGCGAGAGACGGAGAGGGCCGCGCGCGATGCGGGAGCAGCGGCGGAGGTCGCGCTGCGCCATCCGAGCAGTGAGAGCGAGGTGCGGGCGGAGGAGCTGAGGACCGCCGCGGAGGCTGCGCGCGAGGCGATGCGCGGCCTCGAGGCCGCGCTTGCGAGGTGCGGTGGCGGGGCAGCGCGGCCGCCCGTCGACGACGCATTTCTGCGTGCAATGCTGCTGCCAGAGAGGCCGAGAAGCACTGTGAGTGGGGGCGACTCGGTGGCGGGTAATGGCGCCGGAATGGCTGGTGATGGGGGCGTGGCTGTCGGCCCGATTGTGGTGCGCGGGGGGTTTGCGTCTATTGCCGATGTCATGGAGAGTGGAGACGAGCTGATGGAAGAGCCGCAAGGGAATGTGTCGGGCGGCGAGATGGGCGGAGGCGGTGGCATGGAAAGCTCCGAGGAGGCCGATGCGACCGGC